GGTTGCTTGGGTTATTGGTGGAGCCATTACAGTATTTTGTGAGCCTGTGGTGCTGTTAAGGTTGTTGCGTTTGGGTTGAGTACGATTATTCTATTATTATTATTATTATTATTATTATTGTACCATATCACATCATACAAATCTTTCCGTACGACAATAATCGAACTCAGCGCAATCGTCGACTTATCCTGTATATTCCATATAAAATGTATATACCATGTTAATTTATATATCAATGGGACGTTTGCAGCCCTATTCATACGATATGAGATTGGGCACGGTTTTCTTTTCAAAGAGGCTCCGCTATAGTGGACTGTGATATTTTTATTATAAATAAATAAAGGGATTCAAAAACTAATATTAAAAATTGAATTGAAAAAACTATAGAAACCCCCTATTTTTATAACCGTGTTTTATCAAGTACAAAAATAAGGGTAACTGTGCTCACATTCTTTCTTTTTGTTAATATTCAATAAAAGAACCGCATTTGTCTACTTCGCGTCGAGATCTCAAGCTGTGAGACTGACACACGGACGGAAGTCATAAACGAAGCATGTAAAAATTAGCATTGTATCATGGTATCCGCAACGACCGCAACAGTAATTTTTATTAAATGCATCACCTGTTACGACCTCCCGCTCTGCAACATTGATACAGATTTTAGTGATAAAAATAGGCGCTCCGTGATCATTCACACAAAAGCTATTCTACCGGTAATGGTTTCTCCCATTTATTATTGTTCGTATTTTTTTCACTTTTATTACGCAACTTTACGCAATCGCCCATCGATCCCACCAAAAGGTAAACGGAAATGCGCCTTCTAACCCGTTGCGTGTCGTAAAACTGCACAACAAAGGAGGTGTTTAGGTGGAATTAAAAGGGCGCAAATAAAATGCGACCCTTGCGAATGGTAAATGTGACTTGAGGTTTACTTTTACTTCCACCTACCGTAAATGTGTTTCATTGTTGAAAGTATAAATAAATTAAACAGCTGTTTTGAAATGTATTATGGTATTTATCGTTTTGCAATTTTTTTGTCGATTATTGAGGGCGCACGAAAACTTACTTTCATTACCTCGTCTAAAGGTACGTATCCATCGGCACTCGCGAACTACTACGGACCGGACCGTATGTGGAATTCTCGAATGCACCCATTTTACCAACTTTAGTATCAGCTTGTTTTTTAAACATTCTTTGACAACCTTCGTGTTCTTTATAATTTAATGGGCGGGTTCCATCATTAACAGATGAGATAATATTTAGGATAAAGTAAATCCAGCGACTTGGTTATAATTAATTGCATTTTCAAACATCAAAGTAACGGGCGTAATTGTTCTGGTCAGGTCGCCTAGTGTTTGGTAGTTGTTTGTACCAAAGGCCCAGTTTAAACTTCAGTTAAATTGTGGGTTAAAGGATTTGATTCTGACTTCTTCGTCAACCGGAAATCCCTTCTACAGTTGGTCGTGTACTGAAGATATCAAATCTTCCCTTCGGAAAATAATAGAAGAACTGCTAACCTCTTTTTGAACACTATGTAAATCTTACGCAAATTGGCGCAGGATCGAGAGTTGCACTTGTTAGATCAGGACTGCTGCGTGCCCTGTTTTTATTTTGTCGAATGGACACAATCACTTCTTCTATAAACAGCTTGCTTCGAGTGTTTTGCCGGTTCAACATTGATACAGGAATGAACTTATGGTCTTAACTACTTTAGGTACTTAAAATACGGAATGCTATTGTAATCAATAATAATTAAATTGACTACGCACATGAAGATAAATAATCAGCGCATAAATAACACTTTTTACAACTCTACACCAAAATAGTCGTGGAAAAAAAACCTGCACCAAATTCACTTCTTGGATATTGAATTAAGTCGTTTAGACGTCTCCCTAACAAATTGCAGACTCAATGATTTGACATCTGCTCGTTATACTTAAGACTAGGGGCAATAATCAAACGAAACGTTTATTCGGAAAAAGACAGCACCATTTTTAACGCATTTTGCCTCTCTTACTTCGGGCATATCGAACTAATTTGAAAGACTCTTGTGTCGCAGACACGGTTTGCGATTTGTCGACAGTCTGCTGGGTAATATCTGTGTCCCGATCGGCTAACCGGAAATAATATGTTGGTCTGGTACTGAAGTTGTCTAATCTGTTGACTCCTAATTGCCCGATTATGATTACTTTTCTAAAGTGACGATTTTAGATGTAAACAGTGGTCTAATTAGTTGGCAGGATTTTGTATGTGCGCGAGTGTTCCTTAAATGCGTTTTAAAATGCGCGTGAAAGCTTGGGGCGCCCAGAAGTCGTGGCACAGGACGAAATTGGCTAGAATTATCGATTTAGCAAAGGTGCAATCGGTCGATATCAAGCTTGCTGTGTAGGCCGTAGGGTGTTTTTGCTAACTTTGCGGGAAATTTGTCCACGTGGGGTGTGTCAAGAAACCTCATTGGCTAGAAAGTTAGTGTGAAGCGATCAGAAAACGTTAAGTTGGTCACCTGAGAATTGTTTAATTTGTGTACGTAGTAGAAACTTCGTATCGAGCTGCGAGCAGTTAAATCGACCACATGTAATTGACCGAGATTTTATATTGTTAATAAATTAATGACCAGTGCAGTTGTTTCGACCACCAGTAATTTATCGTAGAGATTTTTATTAGCGAGCGACCCAGAGCTCGTTCATCATTTTGGACTTTCTGTCCGTCCGTCTGTGTACATGATCGACACTCGCGAACGGTTTCGAATTTTCCAATTCTGTTTTCAGTAATAGGTAGACAATGGTCTGATTAATTTTGGTTATTTGGGCTTTCTGCCGGTCCGTCTGTGTTTGTGGCTCGTTGTCTATTGGTTTGAACAGTTTATTATTTATTGGTGTAGTAATGTAATAATCGAGAGGGTGTAATATTGGCAGTGTTTTCTAATTTTCTAAAAAAATTCTAAAAAATGTTGCAAATTCTAAGAAATTCTAATTGTGTGCATGGAAGATATTTCAAAAAAATCCTAGAACATTCAAGAGTAGTGCTAAAAACTTCTTGGTACTTTTAAAAAAATTCTAGAAAACTAAAAAAAAATTCTAGTTGATAAAACATTATAGAACTCGAAAAAATTCAAAAAAATCTAGAAAATTCTATAAAATGCTAGTAATGTACACAAACCGAGACAAACATTCTACAGTGATTTTTCCCCGAAAGGAATTTAATGTACACTATAATTCTAAAATTATTAAAATGCCAGAAAATTCTAATTATGTGTATGTGTGTACAGAACAAAATTTTAAAACACTAGAAAATTCAAATTCCTCGAAAAGTTCTAAAAAATTGTACGAAATTCTGAAGTACAAATCTATCAAATTTTGGGGCTTCATGTAACGCTGCTTAGAAAGTGAGGGAGTTCCGAATACGTTCGCAGATAACCGGAAAAATTCACTAATTTACTTTTTGCTACTGGAGAGATTTTGAAAACAAATCACGTTTTCTCACTTCGACTAGAATTTTAGTCCGACATTTTAGTTTCTTGGGCCTTTATTTTTTTAAATACGGACCTGCTTCTTTTTTTTATATGTTGAAAAAGCTCTACTGAAAAAATGCATGTATCACGCTTGCTTAGTTATTAAACATTAAAAATGATTATTTACGAGATTATTTATATTTTTGTGCAAATTTTGCGTTATTGTCATCTTTATGGTGGTAGCGTTTAGAAACTAAGCAAGTGTGATGCCTGTATTTTTCAGGATGACGAATTTTTTCAAAATATAAAATACAAAATGCAGGTACGAGTTTAAAAAAAGAAAGTTGATGATGGCCAAAAAAATCGAAACGTAACCATGCCTGCTCGTAGAGGAAAAGTTGCAATAAAAAATTGTCAATTTAAAAGAAGTTTCGGTTTTATAATCCAACTGTCTAAATATTCGGATTGTTTCAGTTTCTAAACACACGGTTAGATTCGGCCCTAAAATGCGCAACTTTGTCTCTATTTAACCGACTTCGCACATCTTATGGTTTCCGAGATCGCAATGGTCACCCTTGAATTTGGGACGCCCTGTATAGATTTGGTAGAATCCGTCCCTAAATAAGAAAATTGGGTCTGCGCATGCGGAGTTTATTTCTTCATCTTCAGTTAAAATTTCATAAAAAGTGGTCCATAAATAAGAAAGTTATGGGCTGCGCATGCGTAAACCATTTTTAACGCGCGATTTCAATTTGCTTTTATAAGGGAGCATATACAGAAAAGCGGCAGAGCGATGTCATTGGATTTGACCCGTTACATGTGGCATATAGGTCAACTGTGCAAAGTTTGAACCGGTTCGGCCCAAGCGTTTGCCAGTTACCTTGTTCACAGACTGACACCATCGACTCGCTATGCTCTGCCGCTTAATAATGGCCCCAGATAATAATTAGCGCCACCAACAGAGCCAATTTGTTTTTTCTGTCATATCGTTTAACCGTCTTCTCAATCAAACTGAGGTATAAATTACGATTTTGGATCTCTCTGGTCCAAAACGATCAAGGATCAGAAAGCAATATTTTTCGCTATAACTGGTTTCGTAACTGGTGCAAAAAATTCCTTTCTTGGTGCAACCCTCGACACCATAACAAACCAAATAGCAGAAAAAGTAGGGCCATAGATTCGCTAGGAGTTATATTCGTCAATATCGTTCCTGTTTTTATGGCGCTGTATCAGTCTATGTGTAAATCCACCCCTGGTTATAAGTGCCTAATAACGTTGGTGGTTGCAAAAACATGAACATCATAAATGCGCACAAATGGAACACGCTGTATGTCTTTAATTTTACGCTTTGGGTATTTATTTCCTTAAGCGGCAAAAGTTAATTTGAGTGACGCCGTGTATAATATGGGTGAACGAGGGTGGGGGTTTTGTTTTGATGCTAATTATGAGAGGGAATTACAACAGTTAGATACGACACCCGCGATAATGCCGGCGTAATTAGCATGTTTTTGGATGAGCGACCGTGTATAATTACAAAAGGATATCCTACCTTAGCCGAGGGACTCGGCGGTTCGTCCAGATCTAGCTGTTGTTTTTTAGGGGTGGTGGACGAATCAATTCTCCTTCTAACCGTGGGACTGTTCGAGTGATTATATTTAAACGCCTTTCCCTCCTGAATAATTAACCCTCTTGAGACGGCGCGCTTCGCTGCCATTCTCAACGCGGTTTTTAGATCGGTTTCGGGATTTTCGACGACGGTGTGAGATTGCCTTATGTACTTCTCGATGGATTTGAGCGTCGATCCCTCGCGCTGTCCCAATTCGCGAATCGCCTTCGCGATCACTTTGGTAATTTCCATCCCTTTCTCGATGACGAGCGTGCGATTTTGTAAGCCCATGGGATCCTTATAGGAACTTTGCCCTTTATTGAATACCTTGAGGACCGTGCCATCTCTGACGGCCGCTTCGAGATGCTCGGAGACGACGTCTTCGTGGTAATTGTGATGTTGACGAATCGCATGACAAATCCTCTCAACGCTGGGTCGTTGCTTCTGAGAACGTATCTTCCGTATGGCCTCTAAAATCCAACGAGACCACACGGCCTGCGATACGTCCTCAGGTTCGCACATGATTCTCACTACAAGAAAAAAATGAGCATTGACACCTGGTTTGCATTTAAGCGGCAGCGGTAGCTACCTGAGGTTCGGCCCGCGCGCTTCGGTTGCTAACCGCCGGCCCGCGACCATCAAACAAATCCTTTCATAAAAACGAAACGCATCTATTTCGCAATATGACACATAAAACAAACCACTCCTCTACGATTACTTTTTACAAAAAATGCCAAATCGGGCACAGGAAATTCCATTTAATCATAAAATCGCGCAGTTACGTACCACTCGGTGAACGATCTAAATGCCGTCGGTAGCCATCTTGATATAATAAACGTCTACAATATTTACCACCTTTTTCTCGCGATTCCCATATGAAACCTACGTACAAATCTCACGATCACAATCTCCCGAAACGCGCAATTTCAACAATACCGTCAACAGAAAGAAAACTCACCTGGTAATTACGAAATGACGCGATAAATAAATGGCAGTCGGTCGCTGAGCAACGGTTGAACTGTCCGGCGGCGGCCGATGATGTTCCATAAAAACATTCCATAAATTTCGTCGACTAAACGTCTTCCCTATTTAACAAATCTCCCACAATACTCGCACACAAAACCTCACAGCTTTTAGATCACACGTTAACACCGCAAACTTACGGGGTAATTAATTTCGTATATAATATAATTCATTGCAAATAGACACATCACAACAAAAGGTTAATATTGTGACAAAATGGCTAGAATGAGAGCGCGCGCATTTCATTCCCTCCTTTCCTCTCCCGTGCTTCTGCCTATCAATGTATCAATTGTAGGTTTCGCTCCTTCTGGATAAATACGAGTTATCGACGGTGCGAATTACGAAAAAGTGCGCCTTGCGGCTTTCTTGCAATAATAATTTCGGCAAATTTATTTTTCGAGCGCCGTATTTATAAAACAGCTCCGCGTATTTTGAGTTCGGGCGCGCGTTAACAACGGGATACGCAAATATTGAAAGTGAATGGTGTTGGAAGCTATCAATCATTTTTGTAAAATGAGAGTAAAAGTTGCATGACATTTCTGGAAATGTACAGCGTGTTCCGTAAAGCGGTGCGAATTAGACTTGCAGTCTTCACTATTAATCAACGTATAATTTGTCCGTCGGTCTACGAAATGTTTCCTTTATTTAAATTCAATACTGATCACTGTTAATATTGTAGGAAGGCGTGAAATTCTAACCTAATATTTTTTTAAGGGATTGAAAGTTTGCGAAGGCGTTAAGAGTATCAAGTAATTATCTTTTTTGATAATTGATTGTTATTTAAAGTCGGAATTCTGAGTTTCAATTGAACTCTGAATTCCATTGCCATAAGGAATTGCACGAGGATATATCAATTCATGATTCAAATAACTTTCACCCACTACTAGCGTCAATTATTCTTTTTCGTGTACGCTTTAAACAATTATGGCATTATGCAATTGTTGCATATGTATACATAGCGATCAAAAATGAGTGACCGTCGAGTGTCGAGTCACCTTTGGAATTTTTGTTTACATGGGAAATCGCCAAAGGCGACTCGACAGTCACTCATTTTTGATCGCCCGATATGCCTCTAGTGAGTCTAGTGATTCCAAGCGGAGCTTTCGCAATATGGGGAGGGGTCCGGTAGGGGGTTAACCGGTTCCACGCATCATAATATCCTAATGAAGAGTCTCCTTAACAGGAGACTACCTCCTTCCCCACAAACTCCTTATTGATATCGGTGGATCCATGGAATACACTTTTGCCAATACATCAGTACTCTGTAGTACCTTTACCTACCGTCTGAGAACCTACTATCTCAAAATCACAACGGTGATATTTTGGTGTACTAGCTAGCGAGATTTAGAAACTAGCCAGAACACTGGATATCGATAACCAAACACATTAATATTCTAACGTAAATTTAATTACGTCGTTTATAACAATAAATTGATAATAGCCTTGACATTGATTAATTTATAACAAAATTACAATTTAATTTATAACAGAATTACAATATTCTCGCACAAACACGTAATATTTCTAGGAAGAATTACGTCACATCCGCCTTCGTTCTTATTCGCCGATGACACATTTTTATGGCGCCTCGCTGCCTATAAAAATTACTGGAATGTTCGGTACAATATAAAACAGTACTACCCAGGAAGTACTTCCTAGATACCAACTACCAAATAGGTATAAGTAATACGTTTTACTATATTAATGTATAGGTAAGTATACTCGTAGTCTGTAAAATGAATAAGTTGAAGAAACGGGTTATCGCATAGGTAGTATTGCTGCAGTACGTGCGGTTAGGTTGTTCGTTAGAAAACGCACCGTTCTTAGTCTCGAGGTCGGTAAACCAACAAAACCCATTAGGTATACCTATGTATAACCTCAGGAGCAGCAAAAATGTAACCACTAATCCTTTATAGAAATGCATTCTTATTATCGACTACCTATACAGAAATGTGGGTTATATGGCAAGAATTGTGATGGTTTTCAATAGTTTAAATTCTAACACGTAGATGCCTCTACCGTCAAGAAAAATTAGTAATACCACAGACAACATATACTACAGACGGTCAATGCAATGCTATAGAAATAAACGCAACACCTAATAGAGTACGGCTAGTGTGTTGTCTACCTTGAAGCAGTCGAAATAATTTGTCGTAAAATGTGGTAGACGCACAGAAAACTGTTGAGTGTGGTAAAAGTGTGTAATAGATGGAGTCATTTTTGTAAAAATAAAATACATTTACTCAAACCTTATTTCCTCGGCTTCAACGCCGGCCTTTACGTAGATAAGATAAGCGCTCACTTGTATAACATCATAAATTACATGAAATCGCATATATTTTAATTCTTCATTTTTCTCTTTTCTAAACATTTAAAAAATTGATGGAGCGGGTTTGGTTATACAAGGGCGGAAACTAAATTTGGCCTCCACATATAAAATTATGAGGTTGGACAAGGAAAGATTTTATTAGAATAATAAACATAATTTTTGTTTTTCCATAATATATTATTATACCGGGTGGTGACTTGAACAACGCACCATAGGAATTGCAATAGTAATTTTTTTATTTCTGATTATTGACTTCTCTAATTATTTTAGAGAGAAAGTCTATTTTTTGTAGAGAAAAAAAGTACGAATCCATGCATACTATAGCTTTTAATTTTCTGAACTTTGAATCCAAGAAATTGGATAACTAAAAACTGGCGCTTTTAAGAAATCAGTGGTGCCATGGCAATTTGAGATCAAACAGGGGCAAATGCAGGCGCTTTTGTTTGATTTCCTAACTCCATGGAATTACCGACTTTATAAACGGGACAGTTTTTAATTTTTAAATTTTTACTGATTCTGAATTTATAAAATACGAAACAAGAGTATGTACGGATTCGTTTATATAATTCGAGGTAAATCTTTCACTCACGCCTTTGACGCTCCCGACTAAGGCGACGACGGGCGACTTCAGCGCCCCCCAGACTTGGCGTCCAGGGCCTGGGCCCCCCTCCCCCTCGCCCCTCCCCCTCGCACGGCCTTGCCTACCTTACCTATATGTATCTGTGATGATACCCCATCACAAAATTTTTTGATTAGGGGAGGGCCGAGGGAGCACTTAACGAACTTTATTTTATGTCAATGTGTAGGGTCAACATAGTCCAGTCAAATTAGCTCCAAAAGTATTCTAAACTGGATGTTGGCATTTCACACAACGAAACCAAGTGTATTCTATGTAGTTCCCTGCCCGGAAGCTCCCGGAACATATTGCTATACACAAAAAAACCAAGAAAAAATGGAAAAATGCAGTTTTTTTCGCATTTGACTTCCAATTATCTCGTCAACTATTGCTCGAGCTCATAGAAATGAATTTGTTTAGAATCGAATTTTCAGTTGGTACAGAACCGTTCATTTTTAAATGTTATTGTTTTTTCTGGAAAAATACAAAAAAAGTAATCCCAAAAATTAACATTTGTTTTTGTTGATACGCCCTTCTCGATGCTTTGTCTTTCAAACTGGATGACTCCCAGAGCGTTTTCAATATTTTTATGGATGGTGGAACCGTAAAACAACCTATTCCAACAATTGTCTGTTGTCCCGATGAGTTTTGCAAATCGACGGACTGTGGAATTAGTTTAGTGGAAACCCCAGAAATAGAACAAGAAAGTAACTTTATAATAGGCCCTTGGCACTCTGTTTAATAAAAATCATACCAACTGTATCTGATAGAAAAATCGATTCTAAACAAATCGTTCTCTTCATTTTTTCCGTAAGAGGAATAGTTAACGAGATACCTAATTAAGTCAAATGCGAAAAAACGATATTTTCCCATTTTTTCTTCGTTTTCTTGTGTATAGCAATATGTTCCCGGAGTTTCCGGTCAGCTAGACTGTCATTTACGGATTCAGGGGATTTTTTTGCATACAATACACATGGTTTCGTTGAGTGAAGTGACAACACACTAAACCGGCAGACAGTAATAGATACAAAACTATAAACCATCTCGAGGATCGCTATTAAAACATTGCTTTGTGACAATTTTCATAGGTAATTGCACAAGTGCATCAAAATGCTCTTTTAACAAATTATGAAGTGTAACTTCAGCGCATTTTCCATAAATTGATCAATACTTCTCCAAAGGCCATACCTATGTGCGCTACGTTTTTCATTACTAGACGCATATATGGTTAAAATTTTAAAGAAATATCTTCATAAATAAGGAAGTTGACACTTACTGCGCAGTTCATATTACGCGTCCTGCGCATGCGCTTATTAATATCATATTTACAATATGCAATAGGTACGTTTGCTTTTACTATAAGTATCTTTGGTTAAAATTTCAAAGAAATATCTCCATAAATAAGAAAGTTTGCATTGCGCAGTCTGCGCATGCGCACATCTGATTTTTACTATATGCGATATATTTGCCTTTACTACAAGTATCTGTGATTAAAATTTCAACAAAATATATTAATAAATAAAAAAAGTTAACATTGCGCAGCCTGCGCATGCGCAGTTCAATCGTCAAGATTTTCTTTGACTCAGGTGCCAGAGCGATACGCTACCGAATGCAAAAAGAACGAACTAAATATCTTGAAAACTGTAGGAGTACCTCGGACAGACGGACGGACAGAGAAAGTGGCTGCAATAGCGCACCCAACTTCGTTGGAAAATGCGCTAAAAATTATCAGGTTTATTTTGATGCACGAGTGTAATTCGGGGGAATATTTCCCGAATAAACATTACAAACTCACCTTACCTACTTATAAAATTGTTAAGTGTATTCCCATGAAATGTGCAATTATCGCAGGGCTCTTTCGTTTTCTACAATGCAATTACCGCTGTAATTGACCGATAATTGCACACCTCAAATGGGATTTATTACATATGATGAGGCAAATATTCATTCGAAAATTTGCTTACGTTTAGGTTTTCTTTATCCAAGTTAAATGAAGTTAAATTGCTGATTGCAAGATTTATTCCACAAACGGAGAGACAAGTAGGCAAGTAGAGTACGTAGGTATATAAACAAACACGGAGATTACACTTTTTTCGAGAATTCGAAAAGTGGTGCAAGTTATATCGTTTCTTATGCACCCAAAGACAACGAGTAATACGTAATTGCGAATATGAAGTGATATTTGCTTTGTATGTGTACCTGCAAAGATTATCAGCACTTCGCCTCAGATGTAAATTATGGGGATTTCTTGTGGGACAGCTTTCTAACAAA